CCGAGCTGGTTCATTTAGTACCACCGACATCACGCTAAACATCCCCAACTCAAATGGACCCGGTACAGGCCGCCGTGTTCCGGCCACCGGAGACTCCCCGCGAGCCCATGGAGTTCCTTTCCCGCTCTTGGAGCGTCTCAGCTCTCGAAGTCTCCAAAGCCTTGGCCCCACCCCCTGGCCAGACCCAACTCACAAACCTCAACCTCAGCTCTGCCGTCAATGGCGGTGGCGGTGGTCCCATACCAGAGGACCTTGCCGGGGAGATAGACGAGAGCGCCACTTTTTCTGGCAACCCATTTTCTTTTGCATCTTCCGAGACCTCTCAGCTCGTCATGGAGCGTATCATGTCACAGTCGGTAAGCTTAGCAAAGACTTTAGCTTTGCAATGTGTAGACAAATTGTGGGATTTTTAAAAAAATTTGGGTTGACCGTGTTTGATTCTCTAGAAATTTGTTTGGAGAAGTTTTAGTCTTAGTTTCTCGTTTTATTTTTTGTTTTTGTATTGCTTCATGGTCTTGTTTTTTAGCTCTCTCATGTCTCAGTTTTTGTTTGGTTCTTTCCTCTGTATTTGGGTTAGGTCGGCTTATTGCCACGTTCTTGTTTTGGTCTCAAAATTTGACCATTTTCTTTGAAGTTTCAAGTTTCCATTTCTGGGCTTCTACTTGGTTCTTCATCATGTAAATAGAAACTGCTCCAAGTCATTTTTTTATTTAATTAATTTTTATTTGTATTATTTTTTTTAATTTATATTTATGCAGCAAGAGGTATCTCCACGAACATCCGGCCGGCTGTCGCACAGCAGTGGTCCTCTCAACGGTTCCTTAACCGACAGCCCACCTGTCTCCCCCTCCGAAATCGACGATGTTAAGGTCGGTAAACTCTGTTTTGTATTTATTTGAGTTTTGTAATCTTTGCCGGCGACCACCGTTCGCGGTTGCCGGAATATATACGAACCACATGGGTAGTGTACTAAGTCTGGGGTGCAGAGCACGAGTATTACTGAGTCTGACTCACTCTGACCCGGTCGAACAAAGTCCCCAGCTTTCCCGCTATCCAAGGGCCCTTTAATTATCCGACCCAGTAGATTACCGAATCCTTGTTCTCTCGCTCTTTCCAATGCAAAAAGTTAATGACTTGCTGCTCGGTTTCGTCTAATCCAGAAAACCCGTCTCGTAAATCTGCATGTTTTCGATGTTCTTCACTAAAATTAATTAGATTGGTGGTAATTTCGATATTCGCAGAGAGTCCCGGATTTCTGTCTATATGCAGAACTAACCACACGGTGGGTGTGACCCAAAAATCCGTTTTTGTAAAAAGTAATGAACCGACAGTGGCACTACTTGCAGAGGAAGTGGGTGTGCGATTAGTTTTTACTATTTACTCACCGCACCCATCTGTTCTTGGGTGGTTTCACATTTCAGTGAATTTATACACAACTAAGGCCTTTTCCATAAAAAACCCAAATCACAATTGACATTGGATTTTGATATGATGCAGTATGGACGCTCTAACAACCACCACAACACCCAATTCAGAGCCGCCACTCCTAGCGGCGCCCCCGTGTCTGGTGGTGGTAAGACGGTGGGCAGGTGGCTTAAGGATAGGAGGGAGAAGAAGAAAGAGGAGGCTAGAGCCCTGAATGCTCAGCTTCATGCTGCTGTTTCTGTTGCTGGGGTGGCTTCTGCCATCGCCGCCATTGCTGCCGCCACTGCCGCCTCATCCGGGTCGGGGAAAGATGAGCATATGGCGAAGACTGACATGGCTGTGGCCTCTGCTGCCACCTTGGTTGCTGCCCAGTGTGTGGAGGCGGCTGAGGCCATGGGGGCTGAGCGGGAACACCTTGCTACGGTTGTCAGCTCTGCCGTGAACGTCCGGTCTGCTGGCGATATCATGACCTTAACTGCTGCGGCAGCAACAGGTACAGAACCTTAATTTGGTCCTGCTAGCGGTATGATTGCAATTAAAGTGTTTACTTTTATATCTTATGGACCATAATGCCCTTGAGGTTTGTGGTGTGGGATTGCAGCCTTACGCGGTGCGGCGACATTGAAGGCGAGGGCGTTAAAGGAAGTGTGGAATATAGCTGCAGTTATTCCTGTTGAGAAAGGCTCAGGAGTGGCTGGTAATGGAAGCAACGGTAATTCCAACAGTAGTTTCAGCGGTGAACTTGTCCCTGAAGAGAATTTTCTCGGCATCTGCAGTAGAGAATTGCTTGCAAAGGGTTGTGAGCTCCTCAAGCGCACCCGCGGAGGTGAATTTCAGTTTGTTTCATTCGTTGCTATTTATTGTTTTTAAAATGTTTGCAATCATATAGTGCCATGACCAAAATTGAGTTATAACTTGTAAGAATTTTTACATGGGAGGAACTTGGAAGATGGTAAGGTTTCTTTGATCTCGAGTGAATGGATGGACTCTCGAATAATTATGTCTTAGCAGGAAATATCTATTTCGACATTACTTTTCACTTCCTAGTCACTTCCTAGTTGTGCTTAAATTACTGGTTGCCACGTTGCGAGCGAAAATTTGAATTTACTTGGTACATCTGTCTGATGATTTCTTGAGATGGAATCTAATTCTGAGTTTCTTTTATCTTTTGCTGTGCTGAATACCAGGTGATCTTCATTGGAAAATCGTCTCTGTTTATATCCATCGAACGGGTCAGGTAAAATTTCGTGCACAACGTCTATCGATTAGTTTCCTATTTCTTATAGGGTAGGGCCAATAATTAGGGCATCAATAGAACTTTTGGTCATGAATGTAAACTCGATGGGATAAAAGTTTAAACAGCAAAGTAGAGAAGAATGACGAAAGAAGTGGATCCAACCCTTTCCTCTTTTCTCTTTTTGTCTCTCTTTAATTTTCAGGAGCTTCTTTTTGTGCAGGTTATGCTGAAGATGAAGAGCAGGCATGTTGCTGGGACCATCACAAAAAAGAAAAAGAGTGAGTGACTGCTTTTGTCTCTGGCTAATTATTTGAGCAGAATGGAGGTGGAGGGGGGGCCGCCTTTGTTCGTTCCATCTGGGGATTCGCAAAAGCTATAAACACTTAAGTGGCAAAGGATCAAAAGTGCCGGCTTTAATTTTTTTTTCTTTCTCTTTTCTGCCTTTGAATTTTACAGATGTGGTGCTGGAAGTGATCAAGGACATGCCGGCTTGGCCCGGCCGCCACTTGCTCGAGGGGGGCGAGCACCGGCGTTACTTTGGGCTCAAGACTGTTATGCGCGGAGTTGTGGAGTTTGAGTGCCGGAACCAGAGGGAGTACGACATTTGGACTCTGGGCGTGTCGAGGCTCCTCAGCATTGTTGCAGAGAGGCACAATAGACATAGGATCTAGATGGGGTTTTCACCTACATGTTGTGAGGGTAAAATTTGGGAGTTTGGGAGCTTGGGAGTAGGATATTTTGGTAAACTTCTGGCTGTGGTATTTACTGTGAGTTTAGTCTGTTGTAAAAAGGTTTATTTAAGGGTAAAAGTTAATCCCAATTGGTCTTTTAGTATTCTGGAATATTTATATATATATAATTATATGTAATTTGGATATTTTTCTTGAATTTTTAATGGAAAAGAAAGAGAAGGGCACAAGAGCATGTGATTTTGTAGTGCCATGTTAATAAGGAAAGAAAAGGAGGATCTTGGACTGGGGCAGTCAAAAAAGAAGGGAAGGAATCTCAGTTTGAGTAAAGAACAAGATACATAGAAGACAGAAACATTGTCCTGATTTGTTAATTTGTTTATTATTGTGGGTTTGGTGCTTTGTTGACCCTTGTTGGGGGTTTTTGGGATTTAGTAAGGTTTTATTCTTCTAGGTTGTGCAATCCATGATTGTCTTTGGTGTTGTTATCTTCCACTTGATAAAGAAGTGGTATTTGGATTAAATGAACGGTGGGAGGGATTAAGAAATATTTAATTAGCTAGAAGGAGAATAAGAGGCTGTGTTAGTCGGAGAATGTTCCAACTAAATTAGTGTTGACGATGATTTGCTTACTAGCAAGTTTTAGTCATCGCAAGCATTAGCATCATTTTAAGTATTTCGAACGAGCTTAAATTTTGAAATTTTTGTATTTAATATTATTATATTATAATAATTAAATGATAACTATTGTGACGATGATGCTCAGTATCATTCAATTATTGTAAAAAATGTACTCTATAAATTTGAGTAGAAGTAAACAATTTAAGATGCTGGTCATTTATATTCAAGTTTGAATTCCTCTTCAATAGTTTAGAGTTGCGTCTTATAAAAGAAACAAATTTTATAAAAGCACTTGGTGAAGAGGTATAAATGTCAAAATCATTTGAGAGAGTTCCTATGATGGAATTCAGACAACAAGTTTAATAAGCAAGAAAAAGCATGTGATTTTCTACGAAACCAACAATTTAGCTGAAGAAAAAAAAAAAAAATCTCAACAACAAAACCATTTTTTATTTTTTATTTTAATTTTAATGGATTATGCCTAAACTGAACTGGATTGAATGTGACAAAAGAGAAAACAAATGTTATGAACAAGGCAAATGGCGGCCTACAAAGAAAGAGATTTATATGTAGTATGGAGTAATGAATGAGAGAGAGCTTTCATTATATTTATTTATATCCATTGACAATTTGAACGTGAATGGACTCTGTTGATTGTTATAGGGAAAGAGATGTGAAAGGATCATGCAAATAGATATTATGCATTGACAATTCGGATATCTCTAACGCCAATTTCCATGCTCAAATTGTTCCTCTCTAGATATCAATATTTATAGAGAAATGTCACATTCGATTTTATTGATACATTTATTATATCGAATTACATGTTCCCAAACAAAGCCTTGTTTCTTACAACAATTTGAGAAGGAACAACTTGAAGGGTTGGATGCACTCCAAACCCAGCCCAATTTGTTTTAGCCCTTACCCCAAACTGCTTTTATTGTCCAAGACTCTAAGTCAATAGCCCACCCCATCCTACTTTGCCATCCTTGTACCGCCATTGTTCTCAATGGTGGAAGAGATCCGAGTTAAAAAATAAATGTGTAAATATCCTTCTGTGAATAGTTCGAAACATATACAGTTAACCAAGTTGATCCTGTTGTAGATCAAGCTATTGTAGCAAAAATGGGTGAATACAGTTGTTATAGACGAAACCATCATAGAAAAACTTCATCTTCGCACGATGAGATGAGTAAAGGAGGCCTCTCTGCACTGCTTACGCTCTAGTTGCTGGTCGTCAATATTTACTTACCACCGCTGATCAAAGAGAGCAGAAACAAGAAGAGTTGGACGATATCAATGTATATGGAGAGTGCACCGAATATGTATTCATCGTAGCTGAGCCTCTTTATCAGATTGTCAGTGTCGTACACAATATAAGCACAGCACAGGAGAGCTCCAATTGCAGAATACACCATCCTTGAAAACGGCCCCAGAGGCAACAATATCTGCATGTTCATTCCAAAACAGACCAAAAAGATAGGATCATAACTAAGGGTTTGGATAACAAGAGATCTTAATAACAAACGTCATATATGATTGCTGATAGCATGGTGTCGGTTTTCCAATGCAATAGCGTAGTTCAGGTGGTACATGGGCTTGGGACACAAAAGTTGAGCTATTAAGCATTTTCGCCAATCTATTTCTGTATGTACATTCCGGAAGATAAAGTTAAGATCATGATTTGGCTAAGAGGAAGTTCTTAATTACAACTGTCCTGTACAATTGCAGATAGCATTGTCGGTTTTTCAATGCAAAAATGTAGTGTACGGATCAAGTGAAAGCATTTTCCAATCTTTTCCGGACCAAATTTGTCCCGTATTGACAAGCGACATGTTTTTTTGCGAGAGAGTGATTGTATATAACAGTTGTAAGCAAGAATATTTATCGAGTGAAATATGAGAAGCAAAGCAATCCAATTAAAGAAGGTGAAATTAAGACATGCATGCATACAGTAAGGTTTAAGAAGGCTTTGGTTACCTGGATGAGACCAAACATCAAAAGCATGAGGGTTGCAGCGAACAAAAATGGCCCGAGGAAGCTGAAGTCCGCGCCTCTCTTCACTGCCCAGAATGTGTATAGAGTTAAGGCGACAACAACCGTAGCAGTCAGAATCACAGCTAGAAGAACGCTCTTCCCTGTTGGCACCAAAGTTATACATACTTCAGATTACCATATGACGAATCAAAACTAAATGAGATGCAACTTGACAGCAATGTGCAGTTAAATAAAATTAAAGATTCTCAGTCGAATACACAACCCAAACCGGCGACACAAAATAAATTAGTAATGAGCAGAGATTGTTTAAATGGGATATTTAATTGTTTGATGTGTTATCAATTCAAACAAATTTCATGTGATTGATAATCCTAGATTAATCATTTGGCAAGAGGATTGTTATGTGATAATCCTAGATTAACCGTTTGGCAAGAGGATTGTTATGGGAAAGTTTTCTTATCAAACAGCTTCGCATGTTTTTGCATGTTATGTTGGAATCAATCAATTTAACATGTCAAGTAAATTGTTCAATATGTCAATTGACAGTCTAACAACGTAACATATCACCCAAAAGGAAAGAAATATAGTTACGTAAATGATTTGAAAAAGGTGGTCACAAAGACAATCATAGATTGAAAACGAAATGCATGATAACAGAAATGTTAGGGACGATCCCTATCGTAACATTTGACACGATATGTTATTAGAAATTCGTTAATTTGGACAACCCATTCAAACAAAATTCCAAAGACGAATAGTTGAAATGAACCGTTTGGACGATCAATCTAAATTTAATCTATCAAGTGCCAAATTCATTGATATTCCAAGAGCATAATATGTTACGAATACAATTAACAGAAACGCAGATAAATAGTTTAATACCTGCTTTGAAGGAACAAGTGAATCCCACCGTAACCGCAAGTAAAATCGTAAAGAGAGTAAGAAGCACATAATTCCACGGATGCTTCTTGTGGTAAAAGTACAACCCAATCGCAACTGCACCAATTAAAACACAATTAGCAACATCCTCAAAACTAAAGAAAATTAAAAATGCACAAATTATCATCAACTTTCACGATCATGGGAGTTGATTAATTTAATTAATTACCTCCAATGGTGGACACCATAATGAAAACGAACGTGACGGTGCCGGACACGGATCTGACGAAGCCGGGAATGGAGGGGATGGACACAACGGCAGAGGCGACACCGACGGTGAGAAGCAGCTGAAAAGCGACGATCATGTAAACCTTCCGAATGAAGGCCCATCGGAGCTGAGGGGTCTCCATCTGATTCGGGTAAAGTTGCCCATTCTGCCCCGACTCCACGTCACCACCCTTCCCGAACGGTAGAGCCATTGACGATGTCACGAGTTCACAGACGATGGTGGAATGGAATCGCTAGGGTTTCGTCGAAGGCGAAGAGAGAGAGGAAGATGAAGGTATTTTTTGTGCGTAGTTTGAAAGGAGAGAAAGCGTGGGAACGTGAGGGAAAATAGGGGAGATTTTGGAGGTATATATATGGGTAAAATTAGGGCCGGTAAGTTGTTATTAGTGGTAGAAAGAATGTGAGGTAAGGAGAATACGTGTTCATTGCGAGTGTTGTATGAACAAAGCATAAGGTGTGAATTGCTTTTAAGGCTTTGCACACTTTGACTAAATGGTAATTTTCTCAATGTGAAATTAATAAATGAAGGTTCCGAGTGATAGTATTAAACACGCATATTACATATATTTATTGCAATTTCACACGTAGAAGTAATTATTGTTATTTGCCATACGAAAATTTAGTTGCTTATCCAATTTAGTGGTTGAAAACATAAGGACTGGCTTTACCCAATTTAGTTGCTTCTCGTGTTTGTTGAAAGGGTAATATTAGGGATATTAAATTTAGAGACTAAATTTTGAAAACTAAAGGATATAAAAGGTTATGATTGGTTTATTACTTAAACGTTGATAAACGCGCTCATTCCTATTGGTGACACATCATTTAATTTGTAAATTTAGTCTCGCTAGCATTACCCTTGTTGAAACCCCAAAATAATGGCACATAGATTGGCCAAGTTGGCCTTATTTTCATATTTTGATTCTTGTTGATTCGAGGAGCCTTCTGTTATTATTCAAGACACTCTCTTAGACATTATATGCCCTCTTGATTTTCTAATAAAATTATACACAATTTTTTTTTTCTACAAATGTGGATAAGAGCTTTGTCACACCCCAAATTCGAAAATAAGGATGATAATCGAATTAGGGCATGAATAGTATCTTAAATTTTTTTTTTTTACAACAAACGTATGATGGAACCAGAGCCATCTAAAAGTTCACTTGAACCTGTTTATTTAATACATTAAGAGTTTAAAGAGTTCAACACTTACAACATACTCTTAAGATACTAAAACACTTTATTCTAAGTACAACTAGGAAACAAGCTCACACACATGATATGGCTATCCATTTAGAGACAGATCATTATCAAGTTCCTCCATACTGGTACCTGCAATAGCTAATAGGGTATTAGCATTTCGTGCCCAATAGGAACCATGCACCCTTTAAGTTCATATATCACAGTAAATCAAAGTGCCACGCATCAAACAAAACGGTAAATACAAATGATATGACCAATAAGTACACAAGAACTCACTCCCTTCTAATCCCGCCAACTAATATTTATCACATCCAAACCCGCACGTCCCATACCATGCTTATACCACTTGGTTCCGAACACTATAAAATATAAGTTAACTCCCATTCCTCCCTTAGCCCCGAATTTTATTAGTAGTTTCAATTTCATTAATATGGGCCCTTCCCCCGACACCTAACTACATGTTCAAGCCTTTCACCCTACGCATTGAACATATATAAGTTTTCAATACTTTGTTTAACCAACTTTACACAACCCAACACTTGACTCTAAAACATGTAAATGCAACCTGAGCATTTAAATTTCACTGATACAATTGTAAACCTCAACATATTCAATCCAGAAATTTTTCCATAGCTTAACCACTAATCAACACATAATAACATTTAACAAAATCAAGATATATAACATACATCAGAGAGGAAACTATCAGTCCATAACACAACAATGACAAACAAATGTTTCCATTCCATCCGAGCATTTCATTACTATTGTAATAGGTATAACTACTAATATCACAAAGATTAAACATGATATAGAACTACAATTGGGAAATAGAGTCCCTACCTTAAGTCCAGCTAACTAGAGTACCTCTCTAAGCCTCCAAAGTGTCCGGAGTCACTCCCATACCTAAAATCACATAAATAATAATAATAAAAGTTAACTTAAAACTAGAAAAAAGATTCAATTTCAACCTATCAAAAGTTTACCCAAATATACCCCTGTCACAACCTCTTGATAAACCAAGCTTAATCCCATATTGTGACCCCATTTTCATCCCTCAAAACTCAATGGAAAAGGATGAAATTACTTGGGTTTTAAAGCTTAACAACCCTAGTTTCTAATCTAATAAGAGTTTCCCAAAACGGATTTAAGAGAAGAAAATAATCAAGCTCCAAAATTGAGTTCACAAACAGTTTAATTTGCAGAAAATCTGCAGATTTCTAGATTTTTTTTCACATTTTCACATCATATTTTCCATAGAAGATCTCAACCAAAATCAATGAAATAAATTGTGCTTTGTTCCTTGTCATGTCTAATTTCAAATATATAGAAGACTTTTGAAAAACATGTAATGGATTGAGAGAAAACAAGAGCCAAAATGAGGCTCATAAAACTGCAGTTTTTCTAGAACTCAAAGTTGCAATGGTAAGAAAATAGAAAATTAACAAATTTAAGCTAACCTTTTGTACCAATCGAAGAATACACCAGCACCCTCTCAGCTCCCTTTTTCCGATTTCCCACTTTTCCCTCTCCGAAACCTCTCACTCTCCTCTAGTTCTTCAAAGAGAGTTAGAAATACTCCCTTTAATCCCATCATTGCATCTCTGTTTAGGATGCTTACTCACCCCCCTTAGGGTTGGTTTGGTATTGCTGTGCTTTGAAAAAAAAGCTACTTTTGCTATGCTCTGAGAATAAGCAGTTGTGAAATAAAGCAGCAGAGTGTTTGGTAAACTTTTTTGTAAAAGTGCTTTTGAAAAAAAAAAAGCAGTATTATAATGTTTGGTAAACTTTTATGTAAAACAGATGTGAAAAAAAGCCGGTTTTTCAAAGCTGGGTTTTGCAGCTTCTTGTTTTTGGCTTTTTTTCATCCAAAACTGTGAAAAAAAACTGAAGCTGAATGTTTACCAAACACAAAAACAGCTCCCAGCTTTTTTTGATACCAGCTTTTTTCAGAATCACTTCAGTACCAAACCAGGCTTTAGACTACCTACATCACCCCGAACATTTATGGACAGAATCTGGATATCTTGGTTCCTCACCATGTGATGGTTGGGAAGAAGAAGAAGAAGAGTTGGGATGTCTACCACGTATAGAGCATCCTTTGTCTGTTTCTTTGTTTTTTATTTTTTTTATTTTTTTTATTTTTTATTTTTTAAACTAAATAATCTTACTCCTATAATATATATATATATATATATATATATATATATATATATATAAGTATGTATATAAAATATATTTTCCAAGTGTTACAAGCTTGGGCAATCTTACTGAATTCTGTGAGAGATTTTGTAGTGGTCATTGTTTCCCTTTCTAGGTTTGCATTCATACTTCTACGAATTAGAAGTTATTGCTTATTTCATACTTCTACAAATTAGATGTCATCACTTAGTACGAATGTAAGATGAAGGAAAAATTAAAGAAATAAGCATGCATGAGCATTTAAAGAGGCTTAAAAGGACTTTAGTTGATCCCATAGGCACAGAGACTAAAATTTGTATAGAGAGATATAAGTTTAAATAAAAATTTCCTTTATGAATTCTTTTGACGTCATTAAAGTTTAATTATCATTTGGATCACATCTTTTTATTTTCATCATTAGATTGAATAAATTAAACAGAAACAACCTACATTCTTAAGAAGATTGTGCAAGAAATAAAAAATGACATGTGTTTATCGTTTTTCTAATTAAAATAAGTTTGTTATGACGTTGAATTGAAAATAAAAGCCCAACATTACCCATCATAAATTTGAGCCCAATACAAAATTCCTTAGAGTCTTGTCCGAGTGCATCCATATATGAAATGTACAAGAGTCCAACTTCAGTGTCAAAATATCTGGGTCACAAAACTGAACCCCTTTTCCCACTCGCATTTGCCCTTCAGTTTGTCACATATGAGGTCATAAATTGATGCCCTTATCCTACAGCTTCTGCGCACAAAAAGTTAGATGCTCTCTCAATGACAGCCATGTCCTCCTCCACTTCTTCTTCTTCGTTTGCCATCTCTGGTACAAATGTTTTTGAGATGGGAAAATTCAAAGTTGTCCTCCAGAGAGTTGAAGCAGCAGAGAGGAGTGGATGCAGCAGCAAAACCAAGTCGTCGTCGTCAACTTCTCCTCCTACTAACCCACCGCCTCCAAAACCACTATTGATTGGCATGCCTTGTGAAGCTGCTGGAGAGTTCCCAGTGTTGCTGCTCCTCCATGGTTATCTTCTCTCCAACTCTTTCTACTCTCAGCTTATCAACCACATCGCTTCTCATGGCTTCATTGTCATTGCCCCTCAGGTCTCTCTCTCTCTCTCCCTCTCTCTCTCTCACATCAAACAGTAAGAATTACACAAAGCGAAGTTTGTTTATGGTCAATTCAATGCTACTCAATTTTAGTCTTGCAGGATTAGCTTTATTAGCATACTAATTAATTCCCATTATCTCCGATTATCTTTTTGGGATTTGCAGGTTGATACTTGATAGATCTTTTTTTTTCCTTTTTTTTTTTTTGGGTATTAAGACGACAAGATTAGTGGTTAGTTGATAGATTAGGAAGTAGGCGGATTTGAACCCATACCAAAATGCAAAGACACAATTTAGTTCCATCACTGTGGTAAATGACACTTGCTAATACTTGTTTTAGTGATACAATCGATATTGGTTGGGTAATGATTTTTACACCTTTTTTACTTTTGCTGCACTCCTCTCTTTATTTCTATCTAACAGGATACGGATCATTTTGATGAGAATCTTGAAAATTCGTGAATTATATATGTTCATTTTACATCATATGATTAGTTTTTGTTAAGTACTGTTTGTGTTTAATTTTAAATAAAAATATTTTAAATAATTTTTGATTGCACAATGTACGATAAACGGCCAAATTGACGGATTCTTAGATCCTCACAAAGAAGATCCGGCGAGGATCCATGTTCTATTTCTATCGCTTTGGTTCTCTCCTTTGACTTTAATCCAAATGCTACGGAATAATCACTTTCTTATCATTAGAGTGTAATGAAAAATATTCATGATCTTTGGGTCGTTTCTGATATTTTGAAAGCCTTATGCAAATTTAATAAAAAGACACTACTTATTTTAAGAAAAATTATAATTTTTTAGACCATATATTCAAACAGAGTTTGACAATTAATATTCAAACTTAATTGAAATCATCATCTCATTCTTACTAATTGAATAATCTTCAATTGCCACGAAATCATGGTATAGGGTCTATTCATGAAAAAATAGAGCACGAATGAAAGAGAGTTATTGAAATACACTTATATTTTTGTGGAAGAAAATAAAACACAAGTTAGTTTTTTATTATTAAAGAAAAGTGAAAGAAAATAATGTACAAATTTTTTAATTACATGACAAAAGTATATTAAGGATAAATTCTACTTAATTAATTATTATAGATAAAATCATATGATGATAATTTTTTTATTGGCAAATTTATTATGTAATGTATAAGAGGATTAAAAAGTTCGGACCTTGTGAGAAAAGTATATTGTTAGCCACTCGGCGCCATTCACCGTCAATAGTTGCCTTAGTCTGCAAGATAAAAAGTGTATGTCACTTTCAATGTTGTTAGCCACTTGTGCCACCCACTGTCAGTAGTTGCCTTAGTCTGCATGGCAAATGATGTATGTCGCACACACTAGCGGCTTTGGCTGTCTTGGTAGGAGAGAATGACTTGCATTCATCAAGTTATCGTTAATTGATATTTTTTAGTCTAATAATGCGTTGATTTGTGCAAATTTTCTTCACAAAGTAATTTATTATTTAGATTAAGATATTACTTAGCGGTAAATTTATTCTAATGTAAATTACTCTTATCGTGAGTACCAAGATGTCAAGGAACCAAAGATAAAAATATCAAAGCTTTTATTTTCAGTACTAGACAAGTTATGGAATTAAAGGGGTTTGGCGTCTTTTATGTGGCATGTTTTGATTGGCACATTTGTATGAACTAAATACACCCAAGTGGCTCAATCCTTTGTTAGACGTGCTAGGGTCTCAAATACGAATTAAGATTCTTTCCTCTTATTTTTTTCATCCCCTTCCATTCCCTCATCTCACATTTTTTATTTTGTCTCTCTTTCTATAAAAAATTAATATAAGATGTTAGTATGGCTTAACCGTGGCTGTTCAAATAGGAGGGGAGGGAAGTGGAGGGAAAAAAAGAGAGGAGATAATCCTATTCCTTCAAATGCTGGCTTTTTCTCATTCACATTTTTGTTCACATTAAGATGAACTAGCCTTCATGTATGCGCGTACTTCATGCATGCGCTTATGCACATGCAGAAGGTATTTTTTGAATTATGGCATGCTACGCGAAATTTATACATTTTAAATGTATTTATATGCGTAAATTGATAAAAGGAAAGTCAAATATTTGAAGTAAATGAATAATTTTAGATCATGCTAGAAGAAATCCCTCATAAACCAATTAAAGCATTTGAATTTACATAATAAAATCGGTCTTTATAGAATTTACGTTAAGAATAGAGAAAATAATGTTTAATAAACAATTGATTGAATCACATTATTGTTAGCTCATTGTGAGATTAAGCCCATCCACATCTCCATTAGTGTATATAATATTGTTTGTTAAAAAAAAAAACAATCATTTGACAATTAATTTAATCATATTATTATCTACGTGCGAAAGATCTTTTTTATAATATGCATTACACACCTCTTAAAATGTTTTAAAAATGTTTAAAAATAGAGAAAATAATATTTAATAAACAACGGACTGAATCACATTATTGTTAGCCCATTGTGAGGCTAAGCCCACATTTCTATCCTTAGTGTAGATCATATCGTTTGTTGAAAAGAAAAACAATCATTTGACAACTTATTTAATTATTTAATTAGATTATTATTCGCGTGCGAAAGACCTTTTTTTATAACCGGCATTACACGCCTCTTAATATATTTTAAACGTGTTTAAAAATAGAGAAATTGAATCACATTATTGCTAGCCTATTGTGAGATACTAATTATTTTTTAAAAAAAAAATTGTACTAACTATTAAAAAAAGTACTGTTAAAATGATGAAAATACCCCTTATTTGATGCATTATTTTGAGATGCCTTGGAAATTTTTGTCTTGGTGGCATTTTTGTCCAACTATTTTTGTTGAAGTTTGGTGACACCAAAATCACTGTTCACCTTTTATGTTCGCTTTTATGTATAGATGCATAGAAAAGTTGTTGGGCATTTTTTATGACAAAATTATTTAAAAATAAATTTACAAAATTACCCTTGCATTATTTTGTGCATTCTTTTTTGTTGCTTTTGATTTTATTTTTTTTTAGCCAAGGGGCATTTTCATCATATTATTTTTTGTCGAAGCCGTAACCCTGAATTGGGGTGCTGGCTTTATATATAAGAGATTAGAGATAACTTGTACTTTCACGATAAACTTCTAAGCGTGATTGTCACGCTATTAAGATGTTATAATTTTTTAGCATGCATTTAATTCTATTTTATTGGCAATTAATTGTTCTCTGTGTTTGACAGTTATATACCATAGCTGGACCAAACACAACTGATGAGATCAAGTCCACAGCTGCAATAACAAACTGGTTATCTAATGGACTTCAACCCTTGCTTCCACGCAATGTTCATGCAAATTTAAGCAAGCTAGCACTTGCCGGCCATAGCCGTGGAGGCAAGGTTTCATTTGCACTAGCTTTAGGGAAAGAAGAAACTGGCACCAGCTTAAAGTTTTCAGCCTTGATAGGCATTGACCCAGTTGACGGAATGGACAAGGGGAAACAAACTCCTCCGCCAGTGCTAACCTATGTTCCTCATTCATTTGATCTTGACATGGCAGTGATGGTGATTGGTTCGGGTTTGGGTGAAGTGAAAAAGAACCCTCTATTCCCTCCTTGTGCTCCAAAGGGTGTTAACCATGAGGACTTCTTCAACGAATGCCGGAAATCGGCATGTTATTTTGTGGCAAAGGATTATGGCCATCTTGACATGCTAGATGATGAGACCAAAGGGATTAGAGGGAAAGCAACGTATTGTTTGTGCAAAAATGGGAAGTCTAGGGAGCCCATGAGGAGGTTTGTTGGAGGGGTTGTGGTTGCTTTCATAAAAGCTCATTTAGAAGGTGATAGTAGCCACCTATTGGCTATAAGAGAAGGGGTTGAGACTTTGCCAATAGAGCTTCAAAGTGTTGAATTTCTTTTGTGAATTTTAGATGCATTGTAGATATGTTGCTTCACTACAAATGTGAGAAGGATGCTTCAATTAATTGCATTTAGCTTTTTGAGTTTCAAGGGGATGCATAGACTTGAGCAGACATAGTCATGTTAGTTGGAGCGGAGGTGATGCAGAGACTTGACCAGACGTAGTCATGTTAGTTGGAGCGGACGTACTCCCTTATATGCACTCAAGTTTGAATTTTTCTTCCTACAATTTAGATTAGTTTAAAGTAGGATATTACTTATATTAAGTAAAAGTGACAATGCATATAGATACACCAAATAATTATGGTTATGCAATTGAGCTCAATTTTATTTTTTGTCAAATAATTGTGGTTCATGAGATTCAAATTTTTGATTTAGATAAAGCAATATTGTGGGAGATGGAGAATTGAACTTGAAATCTCAAATGGAAAGTTAACCAACAAATTTATAAATCCCTACATGAAATTCGAACTCAAAACCTCATTAAGTAAAATCGTAACTTGATGGAGACTAGGTGTCACAAAACGAGTGTGTGCTGATTGAGTTAAAATTTGTTAGATGGATCTCTAACAATAACTTAATGAATTTATATTTCTTAAGGCCCGACCCATTAGGGGTGGGTTGAAAAAACTGGAAATCAGAAAAATGGGGTCGAAAACTAAACTAAGGCTGAAAAAATTGAACCGAATCGAATTTGGTTGGGTCGGTTTCAGTTTCTAGGGTTTGGAAACCGAACCATACTGAACCGAAGTTCTTCAAAACGATGTCGTTTTGTAATTATTTTATCAATTTATAAACCCATTCTAAAGGGCATCGTTCTACACCGACTCCACTTCTACCGTGCAGTCCAACCCAAGTCCCTAACCCTGTCCGCGGATTCCTCTCTGCTCTCTCCCGTTTTCCCAGTTCGCGTCGCGCAGCAGCCTCCTCTCTCTCTCTCTCTCGGTCTTCAATCACTCTCTCAAACTCTGTCGCTCATTCCCAGCGGTGACCCGCGACTCTCTCGGCCGTCAGTCTCTCATCTCGCCGTCAGCTTCTTCTTTTTGCTGAAATAGATTAACACCGGCTGGCTTGTTGTGGGTATCGGAGCGCTCTGTTATTACAATTTTTTGTCAGCCTCAAGCTCTGATTTTAGGGGGATGAAGATGTATGTCTTTAACTTTTTACTTATTTCTAATTAGGTTAGTTTATATGAAAGTCCGTTTTTAAGGCTTTTGTAGAAGTTTCGTATTATTATTTTCTTAATGCTGGTGGTGTTATAAATTCCACATTTAAACAATTTTTTGCAGTTTACAGGCCAATTCCGGTGTGCTTACCAATTTTGATGTGCTCAACTTTCTAAAGTCCAAAGGGGCTTCAAAACATCTAGCACGGGTTCTTGCTAATGTAGCGCCATCTGAGTATAAGGTAGTAATGATATTTATATTTCCACCACCCATTCCCTTTTTTATCAGTATTGTTGTGAGAAATGATGTGTTGTTTATTTCCCTTGCTTAGGTTTTTGATTACTTGGTTGCGACTCCTGCTTGTACTCAGACAAGAGAGAGTATTCATGAGTTCAAGGAGAAGTGTAAGGAATATGACCTTGCAGAAGCTGAGGTGCTCAATATCATCAACTCTAGGCCATATAACGTCGTTGGAATCTTCCCGGTGTGTTATACTACTTTGATTGATAATCTGTTTCTCTTACGTATCTCATTGATTCTAGTAATGACTGTGATGCTTCTTTCTTGATGGTTTCTGTTTCATTTATATTATGATTTGTGTATATTATCATGATGCCTGTTGTTTCGTGTATCGGGTTTATGTGATCACACCGTATCTGCAGCTAATTGCATTTGTCTTTGTACCCTGCATTGTGGGTGGAATAGGAACCGCATATAAGTGGGCTAGGGAAAAAAAATTAGGAACACTATATCTTGCGCAGAGAAAAATTATGAGCAGAATGCTATGCTTTCTATTGCTTGACATGAATTTACTGATTCACATTATGTAAGTACGGTAAATCATTGGCTGGGTACCGCGTATTTTATTTCTCCATTCTGTAGTCTGTCAACCTGAAATAATTATTTGTGACCATTGATATCAGAAAATTATCAACTCTGTGTACAACTGAGTTAACAATGTTACCATGGCGTTTTCATTAAGGTTGAACTTTTCAAGACTTGGGATCAAAACAAAGCTGCCTTATTCGCTAACGTGATAATTGAGAATTCATGGATTTATTCAGTGTCTACTGTTTATGATGAATTAGTGTCTTCCCAAATTGTGGAATGGTCTAGTGCGTTTTCTCTTCTTGTTGTCTGTGCTTAGAGAATCTATGAACACCTTGTTGGATTACCATGTTCTTGGTGCATACACATTATCTTTTGTTTTCTCATATATCATTTTGGTTCACGACATGTAGTAAATATTATTGCAGTTAAGCATGAGCCCGCACGAATGCATTTTGTCTTGATGTTCCTTTGTGCAATGACCTCAAAAGAGAGCTACCATTTTCGAATAACGAAGCCTTTTCAGGCTTAACAATGCCACGTGCAAATTTTGAAAATCAAACCCACACCATGACAGTAAGGCTGAGCAGAACAGCTACAAAGTCGTACACCACCGCCCTTTTCTCTCAATAAATCCACCAATTTACTAAAGACACCAGTCACCCATGAAAACATAGTAAATGTAGGCTCCTTCTTTGTGTAATGACATAAGATCGCCATTGCCTCTGTGCCATATAGGCTCCTAGTATAATTTTCCTACTTGTAAACTAAGAGAAACTAGTGTAACGTTCCTGCTTTATTGTAATTTATGGAACTTGTCAACTTACTTGCAAATTTGCTTTGTTAATTTCTTTATGGTGTCTCACAGATGATAGAGGATATCGATAACCGTCTAGGAGATAAAATTCAAGATCTAGTAGATATGGTGGTAGAAGTGTTACCATCTCTACCCGTTCCAGCAGCAACTTACGATAGTGAGGCAAAAACCACGGATGCAGAAAAAATTGAAGATGAGAACGATAATGATGAAGAGGAACCAATTGAGACAGAATGATCAGAAGGATTCCAGCATCAATGATCGAAGTTTAAGTCTCGAAATTTTCTTCACTTGTAGGTTTATGGTCTCAAATCAAGTTTATCATGAGCAACTATTTACTGTCCATCTTGTATACTTGGATTGCATTTGTGGTTTCGCAAGCGACTGTCGAATGTTGTCATGATAGCAGGAATGAAGAAACTTATAGGTCGTGGTTTCTTCTATTTTGGTTGTGGTTCAAGTAAACTTCTCTGGTTGCATGTCATTCACTATTTTGCCCATAAGAAACTGAAGTTGTTTGAAGGAGGATTTACATGGATTTGTCTTCCCTAATTGTTTGAAGGAGAATTTACATGGCATGGGTACACCTCCACGATGGTGTTTCGTGCCCATGAAATAAAAGACGTGTAAATTTTTATCCACATCTTTGATTGATTGAAGTTACTCTTTGTTTGGAGAGGTTCCAAGGTTCGACATCTTCCTCATTGTCAAATATAATAATTAAAACGGACAGGGTTACATGAGAAAATACAACTTGTATTATCCTTCCTTCAATTTAATTTCTTTTAAACGAAAAACTTGGGTTACAGTTACAGAGTGTTATTTTCACGTGTGATTATATCATCAGCGCGAGGCGACATCGTAATTGAAAAAAATTGTCTTCCGTTGAATTAATTAAAGTTTGGTATATGGATATATAGAGTAGAACAAAAGTGTTGGACTTACAATGGTACCCTTTTTATATGACTGAAAATGAAAGATCCCACTTCTAAATAATTGACTTCCATTTGTAAAAGTGACGTTAGCTAGGGAGGTTCAACATAATACGACCTCGATTATTTTGGTTGGCGTACGAGTAAATGCTCTTAATCACTAAAGCTACAATTATACTGCAACGAGGTATACTTTTATCGAATGTCTCTGAAGGAACATTGCAGCTGCCAGGTAGGGATAAAACTTAGGGTTCAAGCAAGAGTAAACTGTCAAATTTCCTATGCATACAGAAGGGAAAACACACTTGTTAAGTGAATGGGTTCTCACACGGTTTTATCACCTATCCTGTGCCTCCGACTGCAGATACTATGTCCGTGGTGATATGCGTCTCGGAGCATTTGTCAAGTTTGAAGTCGGACAGCGTATTTTTGTCTTGTTCAAAAACACTAAACCTGCCTCTGGTGAGCAAAGCTGCAATTTCTTTTCTTGTTTATTAAGCAATATGTTGTTCCCAAATTATTGATGGTTGTGTTTTCCTTGATTCTTGCACCATTGCAGAGACCTTGATGTTTGAAAATGATGCGGAGATTAAGGATGAAGATAAATTTCTTCACAGGACCTACACCGGAAAACAGAAACACGTGGTCGGTGCTGCAAGGAGTGGCATAATTCCTCGCAGGGTCAGGAGGAAGACTAACGCTAATAGAGCTGCTGCAAGGAGTGACATAGCTCCTGGCAGGGACAAAGACGGGTTTGTTCGAACCACATACAGTGGAAAAGGGAGAGGAGGCTGGACCAGCTGAAGAGCTCTGAGCCAATGATCTGAGCTGCTTAGATGGTATGTAGTTTTAAGACTCGAAACTGATCTTTGAGAATCAATGGCATTGCGACTTCAATGTGAAATGTTCTGTTGCCAACTCTTATTAGGTATTTTCTATATATAGTTTAAGACTTAAAAACTGATCGGGAGATGAATGATATCATTTGAAATTAAATGTATGGCGAATTCGATTTTACAGTCTGATGGTATTCCTCTTTATTTGAAAGTGAGAGGTATTAGGTTCAAATCTCGTGGATGGTGAATTCAATACCAAATTAGGTTGCCCATTGTGTGGCTTTGCCGAACTCCCCCTCCCCTTAGTGTAAAAATATCGATGTACTAAAAAAAATATGCATGGCATTGAATTGAAAATTTAGTTAGTTGTTTTGGTAGTCGGTTTATGTCTAATTCTTGGGTATCTTATTCACTTAATTTCGAGCTTAAAAACATGAAACATTTTAAAATCTCTGTATTTATGTCTTGAGAAATGCTAAGGAGACTTTCAAAGCGGGACTCTCCGCCACCTTATCTGTTTGGTACATTGCTTTATGATGTTGGCACGAGAACTCTGCCACAAAGATAAGCCGGCAGAGAGTTCATATGGAAAGTTCCACTTTTAAGAGTCTCCTTGGCATTTCTTGTATGTTTTTGTTGATGTTTAGGTTATGGTTAAACCCATGATGGATGAATTTAAGTGATGCGATTATTCTCTATTGCGCCTTGTAGCTGATATTATAAGAGCATGTATATTTTTTTCTTAGCTGGAAAGCTCTCTAATTTCAGATTGTAAATTGATCTTTAATGGAAGATGTAAATAGAAACGTATATTGGCATCTTTCTTTTACGTTTTTGGAAATTGGGTTACATCTTTTTCATTGGAGCAAAATCCTTCATGTTAACATTCTCAGAAATGTAAAATTAGATGTAAATGTGGTTTTACATCACAAATTTGCAACTCTCCATTAGAAATGCCCTAATTAGTCTAAAACGAAGAGGGCACTCGAACTTGGTCGCTTAAAGAGGAATACAACATTAGTTACTTCTTACTCTTGCGAATATAGTGGTATGCAACTACAGAAAAAAAAAAAAAAAAATAATAATAATAAAAAAACAAACCATCAGGAAGCATCGACAACAAAACTAGCTATCTTTTGCCGTCAGATTCTTTGCATGGTTAGCGCATCTGTTTTGGGTACAGAGGGCCACAGGTTCGTATCCTGTCACCTTGATGTGGCAATAGAAAATAATGTTGGAGAAATTACATGGTTAAGGTATTAGGTCGAACTTGGCTCGTTCAATTCTTATAGAGAAGAAGGATCCATAAACGTTTGGTTTTTAGATCTTCCTTTCTCGAGTCATCTGAAATAGCAAAACAATAATCCATGACGTATTAAGAACCTCTGGTCCTAATTTTGTAAGTACGAGTCTTCTTGACCATGTCTACAGCTTAAAACATTTCATCCAAAAACAAAAAGACATTAACATCAAAAATATAAGTGCCACGGAAAAGAACCTTTTGCAACCACTAGCATTGCAATTTCTATACCAACGCAGTAGAGCAACAAAATATCAACAGATTTTGACCCTGCCAGGAATTACATCGCTCCTTTTTTTCCTTCCGATGAGTTAATTTGCTTGCTAGCTTTTCAGTACAGCTCCTATTGACCCTGCCAGGAATTACATCACTCCTTGCAGCAGCTCTGTTCCCAGTCCTCTACATAGAGGCACAAATTAAGAACAGACGTATGTCCACCAACCGACTACGAAGTAATAATCTGACTGGTAACACATCAGATTATTCGTAGACTTCTTTCTCTTTTCCAGTGCACGCTATGTAAAGAAATCCATCATCCCCCGTATTATCCGCATCAAATGCAGACATCAAGGCCTCTTTAACAGTGCAAGAGTTAAGAGCTATTGACGACCACAAGGTCGACAACTAATTTGGGAACAAGATATCATGCTCAAAAGAAAACAAAAAATAAAGAAAAAAAAAGAGAAATGCAGCTCTGCTCACCATTGGGAGGTTCAGTGTTCTTGAAATATAATCGGATAGAGAAGTTGTGGAGATGAGTCCGAATAAGAAGTAACTAATGTTGTATTCCTCTTTAAGCGACCAAGTTCGAGTGCCCTCTTCATATTAGACTAATAATTAGGGCATTTCTAATGAAGAGTTCCAAATTTGTGATGTAAAAACCACATTTACATCTAATTTTACATCTCCGAGAATGTAATGTGAAGGAGATCAATAATTTACAATTCGTAACTGGAGAGACCCTGCATGATCATCATTGCCGTTGATCCTGACCCAGGCTCCTGCCCATACCATCGCCTGATTGCGTCTCAAACAATTTCCCATTCCAGCTACGTACGGGTAGCTTATTAAGCCGACGAACCTTAAGAATTAAGGTTCTGGAGAAATAGGGCCTCATAATTGAGTTGAAAGAATAGAGAATTTAACGATGGGGGAAGTTTGTGTTATGTATAGGAGGGGAGCCCTAGCAAAGCTGAGAAAGGTTGGGTGGGGAGGATTGGGTCGAGACCTTGACATAATTGTTGTTATAATATTACACTTGCAGCCTCGAGGAAAATGCATGCACGACAGTATTATATTCGAGGTCGATTTTTTGTTCGTTCAATTTAGAAGTGTAGTGACGAGGACAAAAGGCAGCGGCTCGGCGTAATTTAGAAGCTCAATTTACAGCTTGAAGTAACGTTTGATCGTCCTTGTTAATATACTCTAAAAATGCGACATTAACTTTTAATTTATTTTTTATTAATATGTTTTCAAAGTGAAACATATTAACCTTTGAACAATTGGTGGTCAACTTTTAATATAACGTATTAACCTTTGATCAATCTCTCTAAATTGGTTAGTAATTAGTGTGTAGTCCTAAAAAAAGGGAAAAGACGAAGGGGATGAAGCTAATTTTCAAATTGTGCATTCTTTGTATCCTTCTAGACGTACGTAAAATTTGTTATTAGCATCATTCGTTGGTTATATGAAATTTGTTTATTACTGATTATTTTTGTTGTATTTTTTTCAGAAAATGATTAGGTTTGGTGATGTATTGAATTTCAATGGTAGATGGGTTGACACCAAATACATTGATGGTCAAGTGAAATCAAAGGTTGTGTCCGATCGAGAACGTTACTTATGAAGAGTTGGTGCATATAATACCACAACGATTAGGTTTTAATGCGAGAAACTGTGAGATCAAGTATTTTATGAGTACAGGACAAACTTGGGGTTGTGCAATATGATGGAGATATGTGACAATGACGATGTGACTACTTGGGTTTGTGAAAGGCTCTCCATACGACCCAACAAAATTCCACTGTACATAAATATCGAAAGAAAGTTTTCAAGCTGTGAAATTGCAGGTAACCATGGCACTGCAATTAGACTATTTGGGTTTAATATCGAAAGAAAGCCTTCAAGATGTGAAAGTCCAAGTAATTTCCATCTCAGTTTGAAAAATATGATGGTAACTTTGATACGTTCAACGGTCATGCAGCGAGTTACGATGTCTGTGTTAGAATCTCAAAGACTACGATCTCTGTGGTAAGGAATGAATCGAAAATGGTGATGATGATTTCTGGAAAAATCTCAGAGAGGTGCAAAGAGAAGGTTCTCACAGAAAGTTGCCTTCATTCATTCATTCACACCTCACACAAAACTTGCGAGAGGTATATTACCGTTTTAGAGAGAGAGATTCTCTCTCTATGATACAAAACTCAAATCCAACCATTCATGCAATCTACCCTACAAGATAGTTACATGTGTCAACACAAATCACTAACTCTAAGATTACATCTTAGCTATCCAATTGGAATGTAATCCAATGGCTCATATTTAAATCTGGAAATTGAAACTAAATACAAATTTATTCAGCTACAAACACTTATATTTCAACACTGCGTTCTAAGTGTTTAGTTGAGATTACTCCAAGCTTTCTTCTCAGGTATTCGAACTGATCCCTGGCCAATGCCTTGGTAAAAATATCTGCAGTTTGCTCTTCAGTCTTGCAATACAGTAAATCGATCTCTCCATCTTGCAAAGCATCTCGGATGAAATGAAATCTCTTGTTTATATGCCTTGTCTTATGATGATGCACATGATACTTGGTTATGGCCATAGCTGAGGTATTATCGCATAGAATTGGTGTAGCATCAACCTATTCTGCACCAAAATCTGAGAGAACAAATCTCAGCCAAATTGTTTGTGCAGTGGCTTCTGCTATACTAACATATTTAGCCTCTGCGGTGGATAGTGCAACACTGCTTTAATTGATTGATGCCCAAGAAAATACACCTGAACCAAGATTAAATGCATATCCAGATGTGCTTTTCATATCATCCTCGCTTCCTGACCAATCACTATCACAGTAGCCAATAAGCATTGCTTCTTTCCCTTTCTCATATGCTATACCATAATCAAGTGTGCTTATTTCCCTTTCCCTTCCAACTATCTGCCTATATAATCTTTCATCAGCTTGTTCACTTCCATCTGACTTAGACAACTTTTCATTCACTGCAAGAGGAGTAGCAACTGATTTGCATTCTTTGAGACCAAATTTATCCAGTAGTGTCTTTGTATATTTCTTCTGGTGCAAGAAAATGCAATTGTCAGTTTGTATCACACCTAAACCCAAGAAGTGGTGCAGCATCCCAAGGTCAATCATTTCATACTGTTTTATCATCTCAGTTTTGAACTTCATCATCAACTCTTGTGAACTTCCAGTGTATATGATATCATCCATATACAAAGAAACAATGAGTATTCCACTTTATGCAATATTTACATATAGTGTTGCTTCACTAGGACTCATTTGAAAACCAGCTTTAGTGAAGTAAGAGTTGATCTCTTTATACCAAGCTCTTGAAGCTTGCTTAAGACCATATAATGCCTTCTTGAGTTTGTAAACTCCATCTTCCTTGTTCTTGATCACAAATCCAGGAGGTTGATCAACATACATTTCTTCATGCAATACTCCATTCAAAAAAGCTGATTTCACATCTAATTGGAACAATTTCCACCCTTTCTGTGCAGCCAATGCAACCAATGTTCTGATTGTATCAAGCTTAGCAACTGGTGCAAAAGTCTCATTGAAATCTATTCCAAGCTTTTGAGAGTATCCCTTTGCAACCAATCTGGCTTTGTTTTTCTGCACTGAGCCATCAAGGTTTAACTTGGTTTTGTAAACCCATTTAACACCAATTACTGGTTTATCAGATGGTCTACTAACCAACTTCCAAGTATTATTCTTCTCTATCATTGCAATTTCACTCTCCATTGCTTTCTGCCATGCTTCATCCTTAACAACTTCTTCAAAAGTTTCAAGTTCAATAATGCACAAATTGCATCTTTCATACATTTCTGCAATGCTTTTATATTTCAGTGGAGTATGATCGAAATCCTGTGGACCTGAACTTTCACTTTGTCCAATAGTACCACTTCTGACTTATGTTTCATCAATGCTTCTTAGTGCCTCACCATCCATTTCTGACATCTCAGCTCGAGTTAAGCTTGATTCACTAGCCTCATTTTCTTTCTCAGTAAACATCTCAGTGAGTGGCACTGAAATACTACATTCGTTCTATGTACTCCAATCCCAACTTGCTTCCTTATTGAATACTACATCTCTGGATATAATCACCTTTTCAGATTCAATGTTATACAACTTGTAACCTTTCTCACATCTTCCATACCCTAGAAACACACACATTGTGCTAGACAAGTCAAGCTTATGTCTTTGTTCTGGGACATGTGCATAGCACAGAGAACTAAACAGCCTTAAATGCTTAATTCCTGGCCTTCTTCCACTATAGGCTTCAAATAGAGTTTTCTTGTCCAAAGCCTTAGTTGGACACCTATTTAAGACATATACTACAATGTTAACTGCCTCAACCCAAAACTCCAGTGGTATCTTCTTCTCAAACATCATACACTTAGCCATCTCCACAATGGTCTTGTTCTTCCTTTCAGCCATTCCATTCTACTGTGGTGAGTATGCCACATTGAGTTGCCTTTCCATTCCCATTTCTTCACAGAACCTGTTGAACTCAATGGATGTATACTCTCATCCTCTGTCACTTCTCAGTTTCTTCAACTTATACCCACTTTGCAGTTCAACAATAGCCTTAAACTTCTTAAAGACATTGAACACCTCAGATTTGTATCTCATAAAGTAAACCCAACACATCCGAGTACAATCATCTATAAAAGTGAGGAAGTATCTATTTCTAGCCTTTGCAACAGTTTGCATTGGTCCACAAACATCAATGTGTACCAATTCCAGTGGAATATTGGCCCTACTTGTTGTCTCTCTTGGAAAATAATCTTTGCAATGTTTCCTAAGAATGCACCCTTCACACACTTCATTGGCGTTCTTAATTTCTGGCAACCCAAGCACTATTTCTTTCTCTTGTAACAGCTTCAAACTATTGACATTCAGATGCTCTATTCTTCTATGCCAGATCAAAGTTAACTTACTCACACTTGCTTTTAATGCAAAATGCAAATATGTGTGAAGTTTCAAAGGAAAACTTCTGTTTCCTCTCATTGGTACTTTAGCAACCAGATTAAAGAGAGAGAGCAATCATCATAAATTTCAGCCTTTTTATCTCCAAAAATCAGAAAGTATCCATGCTCCATCATCTACCACTTAGTAGATTCTCCTTGAGACCTGAGACAAGCATTACTTCTTTGATATACCTCATTCCCATCTTAGTGTCCACCATCAAACTTCCTTTTCCAATAACATCAACCAATTGTCCAATTCCCATTTCTACTTTTGCAGTTATGCTTCTGTCGATATCAACTAGCACATCTTCTCTGCCAGTCATGTGGTTACTACAACCACTATCCACATACCATACATCTTCAATAGACTTCTTGTCAACTGCATTATTTACATAGAACATGGTTGGTGTGGGAAGAACCTGAGTTGCAAAATTTAGATGCTGAACACCTTGAGCACCTTTCTTATTATTGCAGTACCTTGCAATATGACCAATTTTCCCACAACAATGACACTTAGGTTTGCCTTTAAGAAAACATTCTCCATAATGGTATTTATCACAGTACCTACAAGGGTTTCTACCACCTTCTACAGCTGCAATTTGCTTCCCAGATTGATAAGCAGGCTTTTGATCCCACTTTTTAAATTTTGGTTTCCAATTCTTCTAGTATCGATTGCCTTGATTTCCAGAAGAATTGGCAGGTTTGGGATTCACACTTAGACTTGCAAATGCTTTCTCAGTCTTGTTCTTATTATGTCTCTCCAATCTCTGTGCAAAACTTTTCAATGAGGCAATTACCTTTTGAACTTCAATCACATCTATATCCTTTGAGTGTTCAACACAGAGCATATAGGATCATACGCAGAGGGTAAACTAATCAACATTTTCTGCACAATCCTCTCTCTAGACAGTTCATCTCCATAACTTCTCATTTGATTTATCAGACCAAACAATTCTGTAAGATAAACAGATAGGGACTCATCATCTCTCATCTTGGTATATTTAAATTCTTCACGAAGACCTTGTAATTTAACACTTCTAACCTGTTTGTCGCCATGAAATTCTTGCATCAAGATATCTCAAGCTCCCTTAAAGGTTTCTTCGTGAGAGATCCGAGGGAAGATCTCATCGAAAACTACTCCCTGAATCAACCCAAGCGCCTTAGCATCTTTCATGAGCTTCTCCGTGAGAGTTGGAGTATCACTCGATTCCTCCTTCTCCTTCTTCTTTGCATCAGATTCATCAACTCTCTTCGAATCTGAGCACTCTACTCTTTTTCCAACAAACTCCCATAATCCATGAGACTTGAAAATAGTCTTCATCCTTATGCTCCATAACTTATAATTCTCGCTGGTGAAGATCGGTGCTCTCAGCTCACCACCACCAGATCCTGCCATGTTAGACACAGATCTCACAATCAATTTCTTCAAATTTTAAATTGTTCCTTCACAAATTCAATCGCCCAGTGTTAAGCAACCAAACCTAGCTCTGAGGCCATGTTAGAATCTCAGAGACTATGATCTCTGTGGTAAGGAATGAATTGAAAAGGGTGATGATGATTTTTGGAAAAATCTCAGAAAGGTGCAAAGAGAAGGTTCTCACAGAAAGTTGCCTTCATTCATTCATTCACACCTCACACAAAACGTGCGAGAGGTATATTACCGTTAGAGAGAGAGATTCTCTCTCTATGATACAAAACTCAAATCCAACCATTTATGCAATCTACCCTATAAGATAGTTACATGTGTCAACACAAATCACTAACTCTAAGATTACATCTTAGTTGTCCAATTGGAATGTAATCCAATGGCTCACATTTAAATTTGTAAATTGAAACTAAATACAAATTTATTCAGCTAAAAGCACTTATATTTCAACAGTCTGACTGCCATGCAAAAGTGAGGAAGAGGAATGATAATGATACAATCGTGAGAGCAAATTCAACAGCGTTATGATCGTGGAATGAGATGCCACATGATACTTAATTTGGTGAGTATCCTGGAGAGGGTTCTATGGTTTCAGTGTCTGCTGTTTGTGCCAATCATGGCTGATGGCATTCCTTGATGTGGTTACTCCTAATAGTGCGATGGATCTACGTTTCATGGATTTAGTTGTGGAATTCGATTCTCCGAGACGTTTGTTCGATTTTCTTAGGATTGTGTTTAAATGGCGAACGCACTGGTATTGGAAAAAACTTTATCTGCCCAAGGCAATTCTCAGTCAGCAACTCCTCACTTGGATTGCTGAAAGGTACGGCCAATTACTTTTTCCTTTCTTCTTTTACAATTATGAAAATCCTTTTCATTTTTCGAACTTGGTTTGTGTTATTGCTTGCAGAACAACATGCTGTTTGCTAATTTGACGACGTTGCAGAGCACCGTTACTGGAATACTTGAATGTACCCAAAGAGTTCAGGTATAGTGCTGAGGGTCCTCCTGATCTTTGTATCACAGGGGCGATACCTTATTGTAAGAATTTGAGAGCAGTACATGTCGATCCCATCTGTCTAGAGGATCTCTCAATGCATTGCTAATTTATAAATGAACTCGGCCTATACCAAATGATGGACGACGTAGCAGCGTCATATATGGCTGAAAGCTTTCCGCATCTAAAGCGTCTACTGATTCTGTCAGTCTTCCTGTCGTACGGTGCTTGGAAACTATACTGAATAGCCACAAGAATCTTGAGCTACTTGATACACGACTCAGCTGCTGTAGACGAAGAAATTTTATCTGAAGAATGTTGCGTGGGGACGAACAAGTGATCGATGAAAAGGCTGCTGGTGTGGAGCTGCATCACCAGCGTGCAAGGAAACTCTGCGAGCAATGTTCTCCCCTATACAACAACTGATTTTCTTTTTCTTTTGTTGGGTGCGCCATGGGGTAATTTGGACAGCTAGTTCTTTTGTGGTTTACAATTACATGGCATTTGAAAAGTGGATCGTTTTTCTTTCATCATAAAGAAATCATTTTATTTTTGAAACAAATGAAAGTAAAGAATTCATTCATGCTCTCATATCGTTTATGTTGCGTAAGCGGTTCAAATTTTCTTTCCATTAGTTTAGACAAATGTCTGTAGCTAGAATATTGTAACAACTTTTTTTTTTTTTTTTCAAACATTCATAGCCTAACCCAAAAACCAACCCTCAAGGCCACTTGAGATTTTGGACCAATGTAAACCTGTTTGAAGAAGATCAATTGAAACATAGACAGTTTTGTAATCTCTGATTTAGAATCTCAACGAAAGAACCAGATTGTTGGGTGCCAGTTCCCACGGAGTATCACTGAATCCTTAACCGAATAAATCAACAAAGACGCATATGTAGAGTTCTTCATAAAAAAAAGGGTTCTTTAGAGATAAACCCAGACAAATTACATTTCATAAACAAAAACCCATATAAATTTAAATCTCTAAATAAAACCCAATTTTCAAACAAACTGACATGTAAGCAAATAAGTGACCTATTGTTACAATATATTTACAACTTATGCCACAACTCCCTAATTAAGTCAATAAAGGTTATCATAACTCACCCTAATTATGATGAGCAACAAGCTCCTATACTGTTAATATATTATACCAACAAATTTACCTATATTTTGTTGATTAAATAATAAGTATATTTATCTAAGAAATATCAATAGTATGCCTAATAAGTGTATTTATATGAGAAATATCGATAATATGCCTACTAATCAAGGCTCAGAATGCATGATAAACATGTATGAAATATTATACTAATTTACCTATAGTTTGTAGATTCACTAATGTAAATAATAAAATATATTTTATATGAGAAACATCAATAGTTTGCCTAATAAGTATATTTATATGAGAAATACCAATAATATGCCTACTAATAGAGGCTCGGGATGCATGACAAACATGTATGAAATATTATACTAATTTACCTATACAAATTAATTTACCTATATTTTGTAGATTCACTAATTTAAATGATAAATACATTTTATATGAGAAATATTAACAATATGCCACCTAATAGAGGCTCAGGATCCATGATAAACATGTATGAAATCTAATACTAATTTACCTACATAAATTAATTTACCTATATTTTCCAGATTCAAGAATTTAATAACAGGTGCATTATTTTTCAAAATGACCAAAACTATTAGTACTAAGTAGGTACACTAATCTTTTCAAAACAAAAAAAATAGGTACATTGATGTTCGAAAAATAAAACAAAACATACTAGACACATCATTTTTTACCCCTTTTTGTTTTAAAGAAAACAAAAGCATGGTTTTTATTAAATCGCAATAGGGTATATTAATCTGAAAATTTATTGTTGAATTCAAAACGTTTTGAATTTTTATTCCTACGTCAACTAAAATTTCAAAGCCATTACACACGTTACAAGAAAATTAAAAAAGCTTTCCATTTTAATTTTGATATCAACATAAACTGCTATAATGACTTAACTGAGGGTAATTTGGGGAATCCAAATAATATTAAATATGACACACAATCTCAATTAGGTAATTTGCTTAGATGGAGCCTAGTCATTGGGTTTTTGTTAGAAAAATATATTATTGTGGGTTTTATGTAAAAAAAATTGAGTTTGAAGGGGTAAAGTCACATTTTCAGTAAAAAAAATAATAATAGAGGAAGCCTAAAGTCAAAATTGGCCGAAAATGGGCCCGTCTGAAGTTCTTTTCTAAAATAAGCACATACATCAAAAGTATTTCTAATTGAATTCGTTTGTAGAAGAAGCACCTTGAAGTTAATAACGAAAATAACAAGTGCTTACTGAAATCGTTTCTATTTAAAACCACTTCCGGACAGCCCAAAAAACGCATTGGTGCATTTACTAACGTAACCTCAGGCTAGTGCTGAAATGATTCAGTTCACCAACAAAATGAAGATTATTATGCTGAATTTAAATTAGCATGCGTCCTATAATGTAAAAATCCCAACAAAAACAAAAACCAAACCAATAAATTAGAGGTGAAATTAAAGACGAAGTTAAGCATGAGTAGCATATATAGCATAATAAGATGTGCTTGAAAAATTGTAATTATTGAGTAGTAATTAGAGCTGCCTTCTGCTCGTGAAAAAAATATCAAAAATCCCGAACCGAACTGAAAACTTCCTGAACCAAAAGTCCTAAACTGTTCGGTACCCGAATAGTTCGGTAGGGGATTCGGGATCCCATATGCATTCGTTTGGCAATCCCAAATCGAACCGAAGCATATATTTAATTTTAAATTAGGTTTAGAAATTACGTGGACCGTTGAATTTGGTAGAGATTTAATCTTAACCGTTCATTCATTACCCTTACTCTCTTGATCTCACCCGAGTCACCTCACTCTCACTGTCTCACGTTGCCTCTCTCTCTTGTCTCGACTCGTTCTCTCCTTCATGTTTAATTAGTTCCGCATACCCTTTACTTTTTTAAGTTTTGTTTGTATAAATTTAATTGATTTTTGTGTTTCATGCTTTAATTTTGTATTTTGCTCAAATGGTTATTGATTGTATAGGTAGTATATCTTCATTTTTTAAGCTTTTTTAATTTTCTTGAACCATACCTAAAATTTTTGGGAATACCGAAATTTTGGTTCGATTTCGGTTTTTGAAATTCCGTCCCGAAAGGAATTGGTTTGGGATCCGGACCCGAACCACCCCTAATGGTCTTGTGTGTCACTTTTCCATATGTGGGTTGTTTTATATAGAGTTTTTGGTTGAAATAATCAACTTCTGACATTCAGTTGCTAAAATAATTTACTTTGAGTATTTCATCGTTATATCATAGTTGTGTCCTTTGATGTCGTGGATATGTTGTAAATATATATAAAAAAAAAGTGACCAAATATTAAAAGTGAATCATTTTAACTAATTGACTTTTATATTATCAAAGTGTTTTTTTGATTCTGAAATAGTGTTTTAATGTTTTATAGAGAAATACATTAATCGTAAGTTCTTTCTCATAAAATACTTTCAAGATTTTTCAAGAAGGAAAGAATTTGAATTTTTGATAAAATTCTGGAAGTGCTCACCAACATCATTATTCCAAACCATAATTCTTCACATTCTCAAACGAATTGCAAAGCAAGTTGTAAGCTAACCAAGAAAAGAAACTTGCACTTTTATTTTGTTGTAGGGAAAATAAGATGTATTCCACAACGTAAAAAACAATAAAAAGAAAAGGAGAAATTATAGATTGATAAGTCGAGTAGATAAATTCATAACTTAAACGCACATGACAATAACAAGACCACAATTTCAGCTAGAAGTGGATTTGTTCCAAGTTTCCCCTCTTAATCAAGTTTCCCGCTCCTCTTAATTAAGTTTTAGATTCGGTTACTTTTGGATAGACGAAAAGATTTTTCAGTATAACGAAAACACAATTCAGTACATCATCACATGCCATGATACAAGTTAAAAGATGTGTATTTTCTACGATTAATATAATGACATGTAATATAATAACTTGCGTTTCTAGTACACTGAAAAATTTCTACTGCCAACACCCATTTACATCAAGTTACATTTCGAAATATTACATTGCTAAAATGGTAATGAGGACTAACAGGACTTGGGCATCACGCAACCCCTGCCCTCCATTACAAACCAAACCCATGTGGGTCCCGGCAACAATACTGTACTACAGTTTTCTCAAATTTTCTCCATATCTCCGCCTTCACTTTTCTGATTGCAAAGAAACGCGGCGGTGCATTCTGTGTTTTATGTTTGTGGTTCACCCCTCTCTCTGTCTAGATTGCAAAGAAAGTGGAGACATTCTAGGTTTAGGTTCGTTGGTTTCTTTCTCTCCACCTTCACGTCTCTCTCCTTATCAGATTGCAATCAAAGTCTTGCCATTTACATGCATAGTTAGTTATGCTCCTAGAGAATAAGAGGTGTAATTAATTTTGCTTAGCTCTAACTGAATCTAAAAATTGCTTTGTATACAGAGAGTGCAGTGCTTGGTTTCATTAAAACATTTCTGCAGAAAAGATAATAGAAAAAGGCCATTTCATTTGAACTGCATTTTCTTCCATCTTTTCTTGTGTTCCTTTTATGACTCAGTTCTTGATAGTGTTTATAAGAAATAAAGGGTTTGTTGATTAGTTATGTATGTCAGAATACACATTTTTCACATTCTCTAGCAACTCTTTGTATTACTTTCTTTTTTGCCATTTTTTCATCTGTGAATTTTTAATTTTTTTTTATCACCTATACTAATATTTTTACCAAGCGTAAGTTCAGGCATATATAACTAATCAAGAAACCCTTACTTTCTTAAAATACGGTGACTTGTAATAGAACTTATGCTTGGTAGAAATATTAGCATAGGTGATTAAAAATTAAAAATTCACAAATGAAAAAATGGCTAAAAAGAAAGTAATACAAAGAGTTGCTCGAGAATGTGAAAAATGTGTATTCTGACATTCATAACTAATCAACAAACCCTTTCTTTGTTATAAACAGTGTCAAGAACTGACACATAAAAGGAACACAAGAAAAGATGAACAAAAACGTAGTTCAAATGAAAGGGCATTTTTCTATTATCTTTTATGCATAAATGTTTCACTACAAAAAATATGGGCACTGCACACAATAAATTATGTGCCCTTTGAGGCCAAAGAGCACCAAGACATGTGCCCATAGACCAATAGCAACAGTGCAGCTACTAAGTTTTTATCTGTGCCCTCTATGGGCGTCACCATTGCTAAAAGGGCACAATACACTGTTTGGTGCTCAAAGATGCAGGCACAAATGGACCATTATTTGTGCCTGTTTCTGACAACTTTATCAGAAGACCTTTTCCAGCCATATTGACACTTATATTATAATTGTGCCAACAAGAATTAAATATTAAAAAAAAATCAAAATTGAAAAAACTGTAATTATTATTATTTTTTTAAATTTTCATAAAATGTAGAAAGCCTACAACACATTCTCAATCTCAGAAACACATATTGTAATGTTACATATTTCATCTCTAATGCAAAAAGAACTTGAAAGCAGACATTTTTGGACAAATGCATCTTCCCCAGCAAGCCTTGCACCTCATCAGAAGCCAAAACAAATATAGTCGACTTCAAAACAAAATAAGTCCAAAATTACACCTAAAAAGGAGTTGGTTAAAATCAATACGTAAGAGTTCCAGATCTGCCATATCAAAGATTCACCTCTTTTTCCAACTTGGTGGATGGTGCAATCACATCCTCCTGAAATCCAAATGAAAGTGAAAATGAAATTAAAAAAATAAAAAAAGAAAGGACCTATTTCCAGTCATGTTCAAGGACCAAAACTTTCAATCGGCATTAAGAACTCAATAGCAGTGATGCATTGCTACTTTGTTATACCAAATTACAGTGAACAAAATATGCAACTAAATTAAGCAGTAAAACCATCATTACCAGCAAACAAGATGTACAAAACAATAGAAGTTTGGACAATCATTGTTATGACATTAATTTCTAAGAAAGCTAGAAACTGCTAAGAACCTTATAGGCTCTACAACGCACAAGCTAATAAATAAGTATTTTCAAATCTAATTTTTAGCTTTAGTGAAGTCTTCCATGTTTCCATACGGAAAGATAAGATTCATGGAGCTGTTTAGTTTCTTAAGACTGCACGTTTCCTCACTGTTCAGTCTCTCCTAAGAGCAACCTAAACACTTAACTACAACTAAAAACTTGCAACAAAGCCCTCAAGTGGGTACTTGTAGGCTGTACCAATGTAATATATAGTCCATCCCTCTAAAATCCTTCCCCACTATTAGTTGTGTATAAACAGTTAAGAAGCTACAACATGACAATAACATATGTTCATTTCTAACAATAAAATCATCCAGTAAGAAACGTACTCCTTATTAGACATCGTAGTGTTTTAGGGAGTGAAAACTCAAATCCGATCTTCACCTTTTATTATCAACATAATGTGATCATCAAGAAGTTAAATGAAGATAACAAATTAAATTTATGTTCATTTGCTAATAATGAAACAAGTAACAAACATACTTCATAAGTGATGTTTATTTGCCCCAATTGTCAAAACCACAGCTCTCCTGCAAGGCATCAAACAAGAAACCTCTTTTCCTTGAAAGTGAAAACAGTTAGGAATAAAAAGGAAAATTTGACGGGCATGGTAACAATACAAGAAATCAATACAATGCAATGAGACAAATCCGACAAAATTCACACCGAATGCCACATGAATTTTAGTTATGGAGATTTTGAGAAAGACTGAAAATTCATCATAATGAAAATCTGCTTATCAATGAGAGTGCACAACATTGTAACATTAGATTCAGAAAATGGTTTTAATTGGTTTTGATAGGAAGCATTGTAAGTTAATCCCAAACATTTAATTCATGCTTCCAAAATTAACAAATTCTACAATTGCAAGAGAAACCCTACTTAAATATCTTAAATGTCAAAACCACAAAACTGCCCTTATCTGCTGGAAGATAAGATCCTACCATCTTCTCTATATTCTCCACCACAGTTACATTCTCGTATCTGCATTACCAAACACATAAAAACAGGGCAATCAACTCTCCATCCAAGAAAACAATACAACATTGTTATGACATTATCTTTCCATTTGCTCCACAGACGAACTAATCTGGATGATATATGCAGCATTTGGACCTCTCATTGCCAAAGTCAATGACTAGTATTAAAAAATTAAAACCATCGATCTAATTCATTAAATTTAATCAACAAACAGAACACACAAATGTAGAACTACAAAAATTGATAGAACAAGAGAGACAGGGAGGTACATGAAAATTGTGTACGATAGGAGCGAGTCTCCAAGTGAGTAAACTGTGACGTGCATACAGAAAATAAACAATAATAAATAACTCATATCTGAAAATATATAAACTCAAGCCGCAAAAAGAACACTAATTCAGATCTGGTGCGGCTTGAAAAAACCCAGATCTGGTACACATACAATCTCTTCTAACCAATTCCTCCATACAATTGTACCTACTTAAATTCCAGGCAAAAAGTTCAGATTTTCATATATAAAATCACCACCCTTCAAATAATTCACATAAAAACACACAAAAAACAAGCCAAGCTCTTAGAAATCGAAAGAAGGCTACGTTTAGGGTTAGGGTTTCTCGGGTTCTTACCTAAATCCAAGAATTTGAACCACTTTCTTACAGTTCAGCTTGAATTCAATCTCCCAAACAAAACCACTAACCAAATCTTCAACATGCCAAGTTAAAACCGAATTAGTCCTAAATCTCAATAATTTTTCACATCTAAAAGTTAAAATTGAAGAAACCCACTTACATAGATAGGAAGCTCACTATGAGAGGATCAGTTTTCTCTATTGGGTCGAGACCCAGTTTTGGTCGAAACTTGGCCGGCGAGTCCGGCTTGGTCGTTTTAGAGAGAAGAGAGAGGGAAGAGCCAGAACTAAAAATAAGGAAATATGAAAGAGATAAATATGAAGGATGTGTGTGGGTTAAGGGGAGAGGAAGAGAGAGAGAGAGAGAGAGAGAGAGAGAGAGATGGATGGATGTGGGTGGGTTGAGGGGAGTATGATCTACGAAGGGTGTCGTGGGTTAGGGGAAGAGAGAGATAGAGTTGGATGGTTGAGGGCGGGCTAAGGGGGAGTGATAGTGGGGATAATTACGAAGGGTGTCAGTGGGTTAAGGGGGGAGAGAGAGAGTTGGATAGAAGTGGGTGAGTTAAGTGGAAAAGAGAGTGTTGGATGGATGTGGACCACAAGTTTTTGAAAAAAAATAATAAAGAACAAAGAATTGTGTCTTTAGAAGTAAACTATGGGCACAAATAATATATTAGAGCCATTTTTTTAAATAAAGCTGTCAGATAATGTATTTGTGCCTATTTTTTTTTACAATAGGCACAATCAATGATGCCCTTTATGAAATGGGAACTGTTTCAGTCTTTTGATGGTCAAACAGACACAAAATTCTCAATTGTGTCCTTTATTTTGTACCCATAGCTCATTTTTCTTGTAGTGTTTTAATGAAACCAAGCACTGCACTTTGTATACAAAACAATTTTTAGATTCAGTTAGAGCTAAGCAAAATTAATTACGCCTCTTATTCTCTAGCAACATAACTAACCATGCATGTAAATGGCAAGACTTTGTTTGCAATATGATAAACAGGGAGAGAAAGGTGAAGGTGGAGAGAAAGAAACCAACAAACCTAAACCCAGAATGCCTCGACTTTCTTATCTGGACAGAGAGAGGGGTGAACCACAAACCTAAAACCCAGAATGCACCGCCGCATTTCTTTGCAATCAGAAAAGTGAAGATGGAGGTATGGAGAAAATAAGAGAAAATAAGAGAAATTTGTAGTACAATATGGTTACTGGAACCCACATGGGTTTTGTCTGTACTTAAGGGCGGGGTTACGTGATGCCCAAGTCTTGTAAGTCCTCATTACCTTTATAGCAATGTAAAAGCAACTTCATCCCTAAAAACCTCTCTAGTCAAGAGTCAATTCAATCCACCCAAATCATTAGTAATTGACTGCAATGAATAGTAACTGTCTAAGTGCATCTCCACTTCTAAACTAAATTGCCTAGTCAATTTGTATTAGATATTTTTTTAAAATAATAATTTTATTTTTCATTTCGAATAAGATTTTTAACCAATCTTGTCACGCTATGTGTCATTATCCGAAAGTACTATTTTTGTGGATAGATTTCCAATAAGATTTTGAAAATATTTTTAACCAATCACGTAGTGCCACATGACATTATCCACAACCTCATCCTTTCGTTTTTTTTGTCCATATAAACCCTACATCCATCTTAATTCATACACCAAACTCAAACTAGCTCAGAATCCTAATTCATCCATCCTACTCCATATAAACCCTACCTCCATCCTAATTCATACACTTCGTAACATCTTCGATGAGCGTCCAATTAGCCATTTTTTTTGCGCACAAAGGTGTATGGAAATTTTGGTTGAAAGTGTTGAAAATATTGAAATATGGTGTAGGGTGGAAGATGATGGTTAGGTATTTATAGAAAAAATAAATTTAAGTTTATTTTTCCTGTATTTTTTAACAAGTTTTATTAAGTAAAATAATCTGGACCGTTGAATTTCAAAAAAATTGAAATCCAACAGCCCAAAATTGAGCACATGACCAACGGTAAGATTTATGACATTTTCCTATTTTTTTTAATTTTTTGGCTGAAAAACATAGACCTTTGATCTAGAAATCAAACGGTCCATATTTTGCCACGTCACTAGCCCTTAGATTTCAAATTCAATTTTTTTTTTACTAGAAATCCAACAGTCTAGAAAACTACTTGTTGGAAATCCAACGGCCATCGTTGCACCATGTGGCCCAAGTCCCACATCCTAGTTAATGCGCTTGCAGTGCAGGCCACCCCCTTTGTGCGCTGTCACGAACATGCGCCAGTAAAAAAAAAAAAATTATTCACATGGCTGACATTATGCTAACATCAACTTGGCATCATGTAGGCTGGTTTCTTGCTCAGTCTATTTTGTGCTGGGCTCAAAGCTGACCTCCACCTTGGACCAGCTAATTGGATGGGATGGAGTGGATTTTGGTGGTTGGGGGTGGGAGAGCTAGGGGGAAATTGGGCTATGGCCTAGCTCATTTGTTAAGGGTGGACTTGCTCTAATGTTGCAGCTGCCATCTAGGGATAAAACCTAAGGCTCAAGCGAGACTAAACTGTCAAATTTCCTATGACTTCCAATTTTGCTTCAAACTTCTTTAATAGATAAAATTACAACTTTTGTCACGACTCGCATGCATATTACAATATCGCTCTTATATATTTAACTTTTTATTAAATTATTTTAGATTAAAATACCATATAGTAATTAGCATTTTTTCGGTTGATAAAAAGAGTTTTCTTGACAATACCACTAACAAAATACACATGATCTATGAGTGGAAAAGAGAGAACGTAAAATGTATTTATAAAAACTAGCCTTCATGCACGCTCTCACGAGCGTGCAGAAGGCATTTTTTGTATAACAAAGTATTACGTGTGATTTACATGTTTTAAATGTATTTATATGTGTAAATTGACAAAAGGAAAGTCAAATATTTGAAGTAAATGAATACTCTTAGATCATGCTAATAAAATGCCTCATAAACCAATTAAAACATTTGAATCCACATAATAAAATCAGTCTCTATAAAATTTACATTAAGAATAGAGAAAATAATATTTAATAAACAACTGAATGAATCACATTATTGCTAGCCCATTGTGAAGTTAAGCTCACCCCCTCCCCATTACATTAAGAAGATAATATCGTTTGTTAAAAAAAAAAAACAATCATTTGACAACTAATTTAATCACATTATTATCCACGTGCGAAAAACCATTTTTATAACTAGCATTACACGTTTCTTAAGATGTTTTGAACGTGTTTAAAAATAGAGAAGATAATATTTAATAAATAGCTGATTGAATCACGTTATTGCTAACTTATTATAAGGTACTAATTTAAAAATAAATAAAAAATTGTACAAAAAAAATAATTATTAAAAATGCCATTAAAATGATAAAATACCCCTGCATTATTTGATGTATTACATTGGGTTGCTTTTGAAGTTTTTTGTTTGAGGGGCATTTTTGTCCAAATATTTTTGTTGAAACTTGTGACACCAAAAACTATTCACTTTTGGGTTCTCTTTATATATAGAAGATGATATAATCACAAACATTTAAAAATATATATAAGGGTATGCTTGTCTTTTCAGCCTAGTTTACAGACAAGAACTAAGATTTTTTTTTAAACAATATTTTTGTTCACTACTGTCAAATAATAGTGATGTACAGCCACCATATTTAGTATTGTTGGATGAGTAATGAATAAAAATAAATCTCAATTTTTTTTTTGAACAAATGATATTATTTACACTAAGTAAAGAGGGTGAGCTAAACCTCACAATGGGCCAGAAATAAAGTGGTTAAAATTCATTTTTGACGAAAATCGAACCTAAGACCTCTTACTTATAAGTGAAGAGATAACAAATTTCAAAATTTAAGCTCACTTATCCAGTAACAATAAATAGAATGATGAACATTACCAAATGGTGTAGTAAGCAAAAATGCAACCCCTTTTTTAGTCAATTTTTCCTATTGTCTGTTTTTTGACATTCTATACAAATATCCATCAAATACAATCAATTTTCCATACCCTACCGTTTGTGCCCCTGCCTTTCTTTTTCCATTTTTTTAATAAAAAAAATAATAAAAAAAAAAAACCTAATGTTTGTGCCCCTGCCTTTCTTTTTTGTTATTTTATTATTATAAAAAAATTGTTTGACTTTTTAATTTTTCAATTATTTTAAAGAGTGAAATGATCAATTTACACTCATAATGGGTGCACAAGCATCTCGGGGTAGGGTTATGTACAGTTAAGAAGAGAGACGTGGGTTAGAAATAGACGTGGGATGGAAATGTTTTGATGATATATGGGTGAGAAGAGAAATGAAAATTTAGTGTTGAAATAGTAAATGGCAAAGTGTGCTTTTGTGAGAGGTGTGTGATATTCATATACTATTTTTTATTTTTTAGACCATCTCCAACCGAAGCATTCAGATGGTTAAATGATAAAAAATAATCAGAAAGCCATCTCCAACCGAGTTCTAGGTCAAATGGTTAGTGGGCACAATGGAATCTGGAAGGGCCAAAGAGCTGGCTGCATGTCTAGCCAGAAATTCAAAAAATCCTGTCGGATATAACTGACAGGAATGTTTAAACAAAAATTTGAATCCAATAGCTAGTTGACTAGCAATTTTTTTTTTTTTTGTTTTTTTTTGGGCCAAATTTTTTTTTCTATAAATACATAAACCATTCATTAAATTTAAGTTCTAATTTTTTTGGTTTTTTGGGCCAGTTACCGTTGTTGTTTTTAAATTTAAGTTGTTGGA